ATAATCGAAAAAATATATAAATTTAAAACAAAATTCGCCCCCAAATCAGAAATTAGGTTACAAATTTCATGCAAATTTTATTTCAAAAGCTATTTTACGCTCTGTAAAATGATGCAAACTTAAAAATTTAAGATTTTTAGTTTATTCATAAATGGAAATATGCGCAAAAAATTTCTTCGACATTAAATTTTAAAAACTCTAAATCGAATTATTATCATCCGTAAACGTAATTGTACAAAATCTGAATTCAATAGCTTATCGATAAGCAGTTCAAAAATCGACGACGAGCTTTTGATTAAACACCGTGAATGAACTGAATACAATTTTTGGAACAGCTCTAATTTTAAGCACTTTGGAAAGATCGGTAAGTTGTTGATATAGCATAACCGTTATTTTTATAACATTCTTGGCATTATGAAACGTGTAAGTGACATTCATAAGCGATTCACGACAGTTCTGTTCATTTGTCAAAGTGGCTGCTTTTGAAAATATTGTGAAGCTCACTCGATGTGCTCCACTATCTATGATACTCATTAAAGATATTTAATAATGTTTTATTTCTATACAGAAATACTGGTAAAATTAAGAGGTCAAATATTTAATTATTTGAGTTATATAAACTACTTATACTGTCTCAAGAAATTTTGAGTCATTTTGTAAAAATAATCTTTCTTTAAAATTCCTTCTTCCCCCCTACCCACTATGCTTCATGACTTTATTACTATTCTGATGAATGGAAGGTTTTAGAGACATTACATTTTTTTTAACAGCAAGAGACATGAAAATGAGCAATGCCTTACCCGAGCAATGCCTCATTTTCATACATTTTAAAAGAAGTTAAATTTTTCAGAGAGTTACTATAAAATATTTATTAGAAATGTCAAATTTAAGCATTTCAATTATTTATATAATAAAGGATATATTTTATATTTATATAATAAAGAAAAATCGTTAATAATATCACTCTGATTTTAGTGGAGATATTTTAAGAAATAAATAAGTGAAAGCTGGAGGAAGAAAAACTATTTCAAGTTATATGTTTATCTTAAAAGTAACGAGAGAAAAAACTATGTTAAAAGAAAAGGCACGCATATCGAAATTGTTTTCCTGTACTGCTGACAAATTGTTATATGGCATGCATACTATAATGTTCATGAATAATTGATTGCTACTAGATTAATACAGGCATAGCATATTTCTAGGGACTGATTTGCTGTAATTTCCAATTTGATTTTTGCATACTTTTATATTTAGGACACTAATTACATCACACTGAAGATTACTCAATGCAATAATTCCATTGCAGTTTTATAGAAAATTATAAAATTTTCAGTTTCAATAAACAAATATATAATATTTCGATGACTCAGCAGGTAACATAATTTATTATCTTTCAAGTTTTTTTCTAAAACACCTCGGCAGATATAGAATCAGCCACAGACTGTACTAACTTTAAAAAGCGGCAGTATCTGAGTGTTCACATTTCTGTTTATAACTGCAATAAGAACAAGTATAAGTTTGAAAAGTTTACCAATGGCTATGTGGATAAAAGAGATGATCATAAGTATTTTGACCTGGTTTTGGTTTCTGGTCAATACGTTGGCTGTAGGGAAGATTTCGTGATTTTTTCCATGTGAACTAGTTTTCTTTATAAATTCCTCTAAGTCTTTCGTTAAGTACATACAAAGTTGCTACATTAAACATTAGTAAGTGTTTACATAGGTAAACATTTTAAAAGCGACTAGCGTAAAGAAAGATTATTTAAATTATGTTTTTAAAATGCAAATTCAGAACACTGAAAACCAAACAGTAAACATTATAAGACTAATTTAATAATCTTTGGTTTGGTTTACTTGAAAACTTTACTTAAAAAACGTTGAAATTTACAATGTTTACAACAAACTATTATTCTGCCATATTCATCGATTGCGTTAATCAAAATCTAAAATTATTTAACGTAAAATGTAATTATCCGAAAATTATGTAAAATGAGAATTTTTTCCCACTATATCTGTAGTTTACAATGGCTAGAAAAAAAGATAGCTCTAGATAATGAGTATTTCTAGAATGAAAAAACTCTATTGACTAGAAATAGTCTTTCGGAGACCTTAGTGTCAGTTAGCCTGCGGAGGTCAGGTTCCCTTCCAAAAAAAAGTAAAACAGTTTAAAAAAGGCATATAGTTTAACGCTTCCTGTTTTATTTGGAATAACATTTCAAAAATAAAAACTCGTGTTGGTTACGAACCAAGCAATATCTTAACGGGATAAAAAGAGCCGTACTTTGATAATGCTAGGATCATGCATTCAGTTTTCGTCGTTTTAATAAAATCCATTATGATACTTATGCTGGTAATTATAAACTGCATTTACGGATACAGAAGTATGATTAATACACTAATATCACAGAATATAAGCTTTTTATGCTCTGACAAGTTTTGTCAAGATACCAATTTTTAGTTCATATACAAGTCGTAAATTCCCTAGCCAGATTCCTTTTTTATATAAATAGATGCATAGAGGAGAAAATGGAACAGTTAATTATATTTTTTTATTCTTTTTCAAAATTTAATTCTTTTAGATATAATTTTTAACGATAATCGATATTCTGCTAAGTTATAATACAAAAATTATTACTAATAATAATTTATATCCTAATATTTATATCCTAATTTAATAATATTTATATCACTCAAAACAGAATTGGAAAACTCTTTCAAATCATATTTAATCAAAACATTTTACGAAGTTATGGGAAAAAGGAATTTTGGGGTTTGTTTGACTTTTAACGGTGAATTCAATCATTAAAACATTTTTACCGTGTTTCCTCATTCATAAAACATTAGCAAAATAATTTACTAAATAATTCTTAGATGTAATAGTATTCTTGTTTATCTTTTGTTATATGACTAAAAATAAATAAAAAAGCGGCTGGTATTCAATATTATTTTATTTAATTACAAATACTTGGCTATTGGTACTCAAGACATAGTCTTTCCATATTATCACTTTTCTATTAGGCCTTGAAATTATGTTAACGACCTAATAGAATTCGGAAAATCCTATGATTGCATAAAACTGCGGGAGGTGCTAATAATGACAAATTTTAAATGAAAATAGAAATTTATTTAAATAAATTATTTAAATTCTATTTGTGAGTGTCTGCTTTATGCATTTAATGTATCAAATACAGAAAAGTGAGAAAAATCCATCCAACACAGAGAAATAATTCTTTCTAGTCTGTGGTAAGATTGTATCAAATTCATTTAAACTTCCGTTTAAATTCGAAATGCGATCTCTCAAATCAATGAAGGAATACATTTTTGGCTTTAAATTTTACATTAGTAGCAACTGTATAATAGCTAAACTTACCAAAATATTTGTAGAAAATCGCCGAAATTCTAGAAATTGCTATAAAATCCCGAAAAATATTAGGAAGATTATGCTTGCCAATTCCACGCTGAAAAGACGAAGATGAGCTCGACAGTAAACGAACAACTTGTGGAAAAAATTCAACGCTAAAATATAAATGCATATGCGAAATTTTCCAAAAATTTCTGATAAATATTGTACTCTCATCGTAAATATGTATGGATTTTATAATGTGATGAAAAACTGAGTCGGTAAAAAGAATGGATTAAAATTTAATTTCCCAAAATAAATTGGTTTACTAAAACTAAATAAAATAGATAAGTAAATAGTAAAAAAATTTAGTAACAAAATAAATAATGATCTTTCTTAAAATACTGCCCAATAAAACATGTCGAATAATTGAATGTTCACAAGCTTGGAAGCTAAAATTCTAAAAAGATTTCGGAAAATTCGGCAGTCATATGTTAAAAGAAACAAGTCTACAGGCTACTAGTACAAAGAAAGAGGAGGGAGACGAAACTAAACGGAACAACTACTTCTTGGCATTCAATAGCGGGGAGGCAATTTTATGGCTTATCCATCACACTAAGGGGAAGCAAACATACTGCCTTAGGCTGGGCCATCTTAGAGAGATTTCAGAAAACGAAAGCGATTTTTTTTGGAGGGGTTTGTTGTCTGACAACGCGACCGTTTTCGAAGCATTTCGTTCCGAGAGGCGGGCTCGTTGATGGGTTAATATCCAGAGTTTATTTAACATTAAATTAAAAAATATGGTACTTATCAATAAACTTTCTCATTGGATACCCTGGAAATAGCCAATCTTCAGATAAATATGGACAAATTTTACTAAAACACTGTCGCAAATTTTTTGTCTATATGTACACATTGTCAATTAAATGTGCTGTAGTTTAAAATGTCTTGTTGACTAAATGTCTGTGTTGGTTAAATGACTTGTCGGCTATAAGTACCCATCGCATATGTCCATGTGAGGTAAATGTCCTGTCCGCTAAGTGTCACATTCAGTTAAATCTGTCGGCTAACTGCCCGTGTCAGCTAAATGTCCTCTCGGCTAAGTCTCTCGTTGGTTAAATGATTGTCGGCTAAGTGTCACAGATCCAAAGATCATATCAGGTTAGGAAAATGTTATAATTACAATATTATTAGATATAGTGGCTATATACATAAGAAAGAACTATGACATTGTAGCAGATGATACAATATCATTAATAGATTTTACTCAAACAGTTACCAAAACAATTCAATAATTATATTATACTGCTTTTCATATAATGTCAAATTTTACCTCACCTTCCTCTCCTGATTCCTATCATCATTACCCAGTTATTAGAAAACAGCAACCCAAAGAGAACAGTTTCAAAACAAAGTATGAAAAACATAATGCAATCTCTTCCTTCTCCCCCCCCCAAAAAAATATTTCCTTACTTCAGCAAAATTTTTATATTTATCAATATTTAAACAACCTGAAATTTACAGTTCTTAATGCAAACTCTAAGATACTTCTAAAATCTCTTCTTAATGTTGGGAAAATGTAAGTGCACTTCTTACAGTTATAATATATATTCGTGACATAATATTAAAAGGTTTAGCAAATAGCTTAATACATATCTTACTCTTGCTATGAAGTATGGTTCTGCACTAAATACGTATAAAAATTCATCAAGATAGTGGAATAAAAGGGACAGCATATCATCACCTGAAAAATATATATATATATCTTAGATACAATTTATGTATGAACAGTCTTTTGCTTTAAAAATTAAGCATCTTAACCCTCAGCATTTTAGATCCGTCATGAAAATTGGTATTTAAACAGCAATTATTAATTGAGTTTCTAAATTACTTTAGTCTGTATTTTCATAAACGTACATTCATTAAGATGATATTTACATTATTAAAGAAAGTAAGAAAGCAAAATATCTTAAATTATAAGCTGATATATGCCAAGTAGCAAAACTTCTGATAACTGGATAAAGCCGCTCATAACGCTCAGAGGGTTAAATAGTTAAAATACTTCAATTTGAGCATTTTACATGAATTGCTATATACACAAACATCTATATTTGCATATATATAGACAGGCAAACTTTTTTTTTTTTCAAGTAAACCTTGGATATCAAAAGCACATTTTTGCATGTGACAGACATAATAAGAAGGATCCTCTTTATTTTACATCATCTATTAATCAAAAAATTAGACTACTTTAAGATATTTGTCGATATGCAGCATCGAATAGAGAAACAATAAAATGCATATTTTTAGCATTAAAGAACAATAATTAGTATGTTAATACAAAATATATTCAACACTTATTAAATATTAGTGGAGGATATCAAAGCTCATAAAAATATTTTATAAATTGGAAAATGTATTACAAGAAAACATCTGAAGAAAATACGTCCTAAAAGTAATGATCTAAAATAATATATTTCTAACATTATATAATACACTGTAAAATGCCTTTTATTTTAATTCTTAAATACATAGCTACCTGTATAAAAAAGTAATGGTGATAATGAAAACTTTGTAGCAAGGTGGCGATTGTAATCCTCTCACTCTATTATGTACATTTATAGTATATGTATATATACACATACATATAGAGAGAGTGTGTGGGTGTAAAATAAAAAATACATAGTTTGTATACATGTATCAAAATTCTAACTTAAATTAGCAATAACTTCTTAAGTCTTCATTTTAATTTGGGTATTTCCTCTCTCTCTCTCTGTGTGTGTTTTAAAAATAGCAGTTGCTTAATAACTTTTCCTGGACTACATCATTTCTACATTAATCCTCTCATATGACTTTTACATAACAATGATGACAATGGCTAATTTGAAAAGCCGAAACCTTTCTCTTAATAACCTTCCCAGGGTTGCCACTCAAACAGGAAAATGAAATTCTCTGACTTTTCCAGGTTTTCAAGGTTTGTTTTAAGAAAATTCCAGTCTATCCGTGTAAAGCACATTGGCTGTGCTAAGAGATAAATTAATTATAGTACCACTTGAAAGCACAAAAATTTGCACAAAAATGAAAGCACAAAAATGGTATGTCATCATACTGCTAGAATTAATTTCAGGATTATATATATATATATATATATTACATATGACTTATAATATATAAATTCCCAAAGCATTACTATTATAACTATAATATGAGTTATTTTCTTCACTGAAGATTGAAATTAGAATCTACCCAATCTGGATTAAACAATATCTTTTTTTGCAAACATTTTGCAGCTAAATGAAAGAAAAATCTATTTAATGATATTTTTCAATAAATCAGGTATTTTATATTCATTTAGTAGCATAAATAAACAAAAAATATGTGCATTAAATTTCGTGATGGTATGTCATCATACTGCTAGAATTAATTTCAGGATTATGCCAGAGAAAATTTCCTGAAATTTGAAAGTATTATTTACTAATAAATAATAAATAAATTTAAAGAGAAGAAGCAACATTAAATGACACAAAAAACACTTTAAGATAATTATTTAAAAATTGAATTAGAATAATCAGCGATATTTTGGCAAATATAGTTACATTAAATGGTTAGCCTAGGTGACTGATTACTATTTTTTTATTTTACTGCAAATGACAAATAAGGCATTTATAATCCTAGTATATGCTACGGCCCTGGCACGAATTTGAAAATTGTCGCCAACACCAAAATGACCCGTTTACTGCTCATCATACTATTCCCAAATCCCGTGTATATGGTACATGGAGGCTATTTTAATCTACATGGTACCTAGGATTAATGGTATACTGGGATTAAAAGAATTTTATTTTATGCGAGAATACATATTTTCCTTAGTTCAACATGCACTGCATATGCACATGGGAGTCTCTCGATACTCGAGGTTACTGGAAACTAAAAGTTACTGGAAACTTGCTTTGCCTTTCTAAAAGACAATCTGATTGGAGCTGCGAAATTGGCTCTATGCTAGCTGGCTGAATGATGCTCACGCAATACATAATTCGCCAAGAAAGTGATCGCTTCAACGTCGGCGCAAAACTCGCTTTTTTGGGGAGAATAGCCATATGAAATTCCTTGACTCTCCAGATTTTGACTAAAATATCTAAATTCCCTGACTTTCCCCTAAATTTTTTGGTCAATTTTCGAATTCCTGTTTTCCAGGTAGCGTAAAACCCTGCCTTCCGTACTATATAACTACATATTTTGTTTGCTTCTACCCCCTGTAACCACATTAAAATGCTGCTGTGCTGTTTTCTTCCTTTTCAAACAATATAAAAAATGTAAATATTTTGGAAATAGGCACAATTAGAGTGCCAAGTGAATTGTGACCACAAATGTTACCTGAAATAAAAATGAATATTTAATCTGCCAAGTTTGCTATTTATTATGGATCAACACATAACAACATTACATCTAGTCGACAGCACCTCAAATGGGGGTATCCAATGGAATTCATCAGTGGAATTTAAAGATTGTTAATGACAAAGACTGAAATTTTGCTATGACTAATAATTTTATTTTATTCTGCATTCATACGAAACATCACTCTTGATCTATTCAATATCCAGAGACGAAAAAAATTCCTGTCATCTGCAGCACTACTAAAATTAATACAGCATCGTGCTCGTATTAAAAGTGATTTAATGAGTATTTTCAAGCATTGAGAGCACACACATTCCAACTACATAATCCTAGCAATTTTGAAGGTTGTTAGTCTTCAAGTTTGTACGTGATGGATTTAACAAATTTTTATCCATAATAGTGTTGAGAATCGAGCATTTAATTGATATTATGTGCAGTTTCAGTGGCATCACTGTTTTGTTGTTTTATTATGTTTTATGCATCTGGCATTACTATTATTTGCGTCATTCTAAAAGTTGTCATGTAAACAATAAGACGTATGCAAGTTCTCTGTACTTTTTTGTTAATAAAGTCCAAAAATTCAAATCACTCTGTTTGTTAATTTTATAACAGGTTATGGGTTTTAGCGATGTTTAACTGCACAAATAAATTAACGATGGCTATATAACGATACGATGGCTATATGATGTATTTGAATCACAGATTTTTTTTTTTACTTTCGTCTTTGATTTCAACACTTCCACCTGAACAGTGTGTAGGTATATGCTACAGTGTACTGATAGCCTTTTTTTGTTGCATATTTCCTGGTTAATGACAACGTAATATGGAAGCTAAAAATTTTGTTCAGTGTACCAAATTGGAAGTTTTATCCAACTGGACTGATTGGAAATTTGAAATAAACTCTTTATTTGTGCTTAACGATTGTGCGGGCATTTTCGATAATTCCCTTATCGAGCCAAAAGCTCCGGCAGAAAGCACGAATGAAAAAACGATACGCGAGTACAACGAAGCTGCAAAAGCGTATGCAAAGGCGAATGCGGAAGCTGCTGTGATCATTCACACAAATGTGTCACCAAATGTGTTAAATTTGATCCGTATGCATGGTAATTCTGCACTAGTGATATGGAATGAGTTATTAAGTAATTTTGAGAAGGTGTCATGCGTGAAATTGGACATTCTTCTGGAACAGTTTTCCACTTTTCAGATCGAGAAAGACAAAAGTGTAATGCAATCACTTGCACGTTTACGTACACTGTGGGTGGATCTTCAACGTGAGCAAGAGTTGAGCAGTGAAGGAAAGTTGCCACAGAACTTGCTAGCACAGCGCATCTTATCTATTCTTCCTAATGATGAATATATCGAGTTCAAATCACAGTGGGGGCTTGATGCCAAAGACGGAAAAGTCACCTGAAAAACTGATCGAACAGATCAACATGCCGCTGCAAAGAAGAAATCAAGAACTTAAAAATGAAAGTACGATTCAAGACTGTATACCACTGTCCCTGTACAACATTTTTTTTCCTGTAACTGCTAATAATTATTTTTTGTTTCTTTACTCTATTTTTGCATGCTTTTGATGTGAATCTATAGAAATTGATGTTTGAATGTACTTATTCAAGTTTGGAGCCAAAAAAGTTGTAAAATTTCTGCAGAAGTTTAAAATTTTAGAAATAAGATTAACATTTTTAGGCACTTTGATGATGCCTCTAAGTTGAACATTATGAAGCAGCCTTCGAAAAATCTCCTAAAACTACAAATTGTTGCGAAGGCTCTCATAACGCACTAAATTCATAGTGTGTTATGAGAGTGTGTTATTATTTAACTATAGCTATTCCGATATGTGGTTTTTATTTGACGGGCTGAAAATAGATTTAGACTCTTAATGTTTGTTATTAGCTAATGTAAATACAGGATGTGCTGAAGTAAAAAAAGAAAACTTACATTTGGTAATCGTGAATCATATAAGAAAATATGATGAAATCGATCATAAAATTAAATATTTCAAGTAATTTAAATAAAATAATCATTCGAAATTCCCATTCATTATTCATTATTCTTCTAAATGTTTATATTATAAAATGTGTAACTTATATTTATTATTATTTTATTTTTTAACAATTAAAATTGTAATAATTTTTCATTGTATAATTCTGTTTCCTTTCTCTTCTCCTTTTCTTAATTCAAAACGGCCCATTTGTTAATCTTGTGTAACAACTGAATTTACACATAAGTTATAAAGTTTTTGAAATATATACCATAGATGTTTTGGTAATTTAAATCATTTTTCTTTAGAAAATTCAAGTAGGTGAACTATGTTCAAATCGATTAATTATTGATTCATTAATGTAA